ATTTCTTTCAACCATGATATCGTACACAGTTTGCTTGTCATCGTGTGCATTGGGGTCTTGCATCTTTTTTATCCATTTCACTATCAAGTTCATRAACAACGGAGACGACTTGGCTGATAAAGCATAATTTCCTTCAACATCGATGTCCACATTAATGTAGGCAACAGCTCGCTGATCTAACAATTCTCTGTGCTCTTCTACCCATTCTCTGGATCCAATCACGCTGTACTCCTCTCCTCCCCAACTACAAATCTAAGAATAATTGCTCAGGGTTATATTACTGCTTCATATATCTTAATGTGTGAACAAACAATTGTAGAAATGTTTACATTCGTTGTCATTTCAAAAGATATCAGATCATTCGTGAAAGCGAGGCAAATAACKTAAATATTGCGCATATATAACCTAAAAGTGTGATTAGGCAAGTACACCTAATTACGAAAACGTTGTCCTGAGATTTAGGGATTTAGGAAATTAGGAATACATTAAAAGACAAAACATGACCACTGAAGCCGAACACTTTCTTTTGTATTTTAATTRAAYGTTTGTGTCATTAGGTGTATCTTCCTTGTGTAGACGAAGCTTGACTGCTATGTTCGAACAACCTATCTGTCACAATCTTAGTTAAAACACGCAATTCGTATAATTATTAAATCAATTATTATATATCATTAACATAGAATTGCATTTCGAAATAGCTGAAGTTTAGTCAAGTTTGACAAGTTGCACGAAACAGAACAAAATGTTKCATACACATATAAACATGCATATAGGACAGATAGCAAAGGCTTATTTTCAAATGAGGTATAGTAGAAATTGTGAATAACAATAAAACATGGTGTTATAAGAGAGATCCCAATTTCAAATTGTAATGACTACATATTTTCGTGCTTTCGTTTTTCTTTTTTAAACTCGAAAATGTCATGTGACAATACTATGGCTTTCATAAACCCGTGAAACAAAGTGTAGTAATTAGAGTGTAATAAAGTATAATAGCCAAGAAATATAATAGAAAACAAAAGAGACAAAGTGTAATAAAGTGTAATACGCTAAATTGTATTTCACGGCTTAATGAGAACCACTCTAAACCCGTGAAACAAAGTGTAGTAATTAGAGTGTAATAGATCGTAATAGTGGCGTAGAGACAATAAAAAACAAAAGAGCCAAAGTGTAATTGCGATAAATACGCTAAAGTGTGTTTCACTGGTTAATGAAAACCAGTCTATTCGGATGAAACAGTTCATGAACTTGTCTACAATGCGCGCGATTGCCTGATGCTTAATATCCAGCAACACCGTATGCGCAATTGTAATCGAAAATCAAAACCGCACATACACAACTCTGTGCAAGATTCACGTGAATCAAAGAACTTTACTTTTGCACGAATAATACACATATTTGATGTGGAACCAGTCATAAATAATTTTCAGCAACAGGTCTTTTACAAACAATCGCAAAAAGAATATTTAAAAAGGAAAAAATATTCATGATTTGAGTAACCTAGCTCCTTTGTCAAATTTAAAACTTAAAGTGCACATGACACCTTTTAGAAAAACACTTTTATCCGAAAGGTAGCATGCTGACAAGCATTTCTGTAAAGGAAGAAATTGATTTTGAATAGTATATTCTGAGTTATAKACATTTGAAAATTGAAAATGCAAATGAAGTGACGTCAACTAAGGAATTGGTCCAGACTTTTTACATTGTTTGCGCTATGCTGTTCTTGGTTGAAGAGCTCAAGTCATTAACCATAGTAATAATTGAGAGCTGAAAATGCCTTTTCCAGTGTAACAAAAAGAATAACGTCCTCTTTCATGATTTTGTATATTAAATCATTCCTTTGTAGACGTCACTTAATTTGCATTTTCTAAGTTTCAATTGCCCATAACTCAGAAAATACAATTTAAAATCAATTTGTTTCTTCACAGAAGTACTTAGCAGCATTTTCTCTTTTGGATGARAATGAATTTCTAATGGTGTCATGTGCACTTTAAGTACGTTTATCTCATTCACACTCCGATACTTTTTGTTTACCAAATCAAGGAAGGGMATTTTCGACTTATCACAGGCCAGACGTCATTCAATCTATCGATGAGTTTTGTTTACCTGTGATAACACAATCAACTGAATGATGGAGCCATTGGCAATAAAGTACAGTAATTAATGAGCAAATAGTAACAGTAATACCACTTAAATTTGAGCAAATTGCTGGCTCGAGTTTCATTTCTATAATTGAAGGCGCTAATTATTCTAAAATTTTCACATGTACTGAAGGCTTTGCTTTCACGTATTCTGATTAAAATTTTACACAAATTGTCATTTTTTTAATCACCTTAATTGTTCTGCGAGGTCGCCATCCAGTTTYGCGAAGTTCCCCAAGACCACGTGCAATCTCGGTTGTTGTTGAAGTACCGCTGACCGCATCGACAGCACCAAATACCCACGAGTCTCTATGGTTACCAATAAGAACATAGCGGTCTGGTTCTTCTTCGCCATTGATTGTCCCGATGACATTGTAGATGGTCTTGYTGGTTATCTCGTTGTGCAGGTCCATCCGTACTTTGATGTTACCTTGGAAGCCTGGGCCGAGTCGATACGTTATGTTCAAAGCTCCTTTCCAGTCATCTGGTACTTCGTCGCCTAAATTAAATAGAAACTGTTAGATTCAATAGAAACTGTTAGATTCAATAGAAACTGTTAGATACAATTCCTTTCAGTTTCTTCTTCTGCTGCTTTCGATTTAACTCTCTCTTTCAATGCAGAATAGAGGCTTTCCAACACAACAAAGTGAGTTGGAAAGCGTATTCATTACRGTTCAAAGCAAACTCTTTCATGTTAAGTGAAAGACTATGTATAGTCTCAAGAGACAGGTCTTTGTCATAAGACAATGAGAGTAATGAACTTAGGATATATAAGTACAGAGAATTGTATTTTCTTTCTCTCGCTTGCTGGACAGCCAGTTAAGTGACCAAACTTAGTCATTTAAGTTGAAGAATGATAAGATAGAAGTCATATTCTTTATTGTTAAGCATTGTTTTGAAGTTTTAGTACATTTGTAAGCGCTCTAACCCTCGGAGCCATACGTTGCATCGATCGAGGACTACGTTTCCAGAGTATTTTTCCCCCACAAGGTTTTTCTCCGSTTTTTCGTAGCGGGCAACGTATATATATATAAACTTGTAAACAACTTTTCTTTTATTAGCTTAGACTAGAAGTATCAGAGTACGTGTAATATGAGTTTACATTGGAAATATGCTGTAATAAAATTGTGCTCTGCTGTCCACCAGGCACCAGGCAAAGTCACACTCCAATATTGTCGTGTTTGTATTGCGCTAGGCGCTTATGCGGAGAATAGGAATGAAAATCCGGTACAGTAGCGTGAATCACTATACATCAACTATAATTAATCATAAACATATCATTCAAATCTATATGAGTTGTCCATTTCTGTTAGAATAAAGTTTATTATTTGATGAAATGACAAAGAGAGACAGTCAATACAAAGATGTCCAGTGAACAATAGGCATTTTTTAACACAATCCTACAATTCTTTTGTTGTTGTTGCTGTTGTTGTTGTTGTTGTTGTTGTTGTTGTCTTTATCAATCATGAATCAAGCTTCGCTCTGACGGCAGTGGTCGACCCAAAGCTATTAGAGCAATTTGACGTCAGGTATCACCTGACCGTGAGAAAATTTAACAGAACTTCTCTTTAATTAGTCGGACTAGCCGAAGTCTAGGTCGACTTAAGTTTTACCTCTTAGCCAATCTATCTATCTATCTGTGTATGTTGTCGCGTTTGGACCACCGGAAGTTAAGAATTTAATAAKTAACTATTGGRTTGGCTGTGTTATTACATGACCGGAAGCTCAAACTTATTATAGATGTACGAATATCGTTAGTAAATGTTAGATTCTACTTGCGCTTTTATGTGATAAAAAAACTATTCATTTACAAATGTGGTATCTGTGATCTCATCGGAATGCATCAGTCTAGGCATAGAAGTACGCGCATGTGCTTCGAGCTTCGAGTAGTATGCTTACAAAACTGACTTCTAGCGTTAGACAGTCTTGTTTGGGCAAAGACTGGAATTTCAAATAAGAACAAGAAGAAACTTAGTTTATCAATAACAAAAGGGCGACTTTGATTAATTTTTAGACATCTTTCCATTTTCTTGGCTTGAGAGGTCAAAAATTTGAATTAAAAACGTATTACATATGATGATATCACTTAGCGACATACCAAGTTTGATTTTAGATTTTATCAGTTCAAGTAACATAAAATACACTCTGTTCGCAGGGTATTAATTAAATGACTCAATTTTCAAAAATAGCTCGCCCGAGTTGACGCTCAGGTCTGGTTTAGATGTAAAGAATCTACCAAAGGCATGCACTTCATCTATAGGAACTGATAAATCACGAAGCGATTTGAAATCAAATATATTAAGAGCAAAATTTGTGAAAGTAACTCCTTGTTGATTACTTTAATGCAATATTTAGCAGCTTTTGAAGGAACTGGATATAAACTTAATATAAAAGTTATGATAACTTTTGACAAATCTTTAAAGGTGTACACACGGTATACATCGCACGACAATGCAGACGTGACTCAAATCGTTCACTCTGATATAGTCTTTCGTGGGGTGTTACTAAAAGGCGAAACGGCGAAACGACGAAACAACGAAACAAGCAAACAGCGAAACAATACAACTACCACAATGTACCATACATGATCACTGGATTTCATTTTTGCCTATTTAGAGTTTTAATAAAAGAAAACTGGCTATATTTTTAAACATTGGCGCATCGGGC